TTCTCACTTTCGAGATATAAAGCATCAAAGATTTAGCATTCTGGCCCCTTGTGACCCCTAATTTTGTACCATACGACATAAAAACCATAATATATAGTTGTAGATGGTTGAGATTAAGATCTTTGCTACAGTAATGTATAACAAAATATTGACTTTAAAAGAGTTATTGAATAAAAACTGTTGGCCCCTTTCAGCCTTAATTTGATGAGTCAGCACATTTTTCTTGATATCGTTTTAAAGATCTTGATATTTTGCACCAATGTTGTTCAGAATGTTTTAACAAAATATTTATAGTTTAAAAGAAATGATACAAAATGTCTCAAAAAATCACTCATAAAACGTGTCCTAAATTTTGACCCCTACCGAGCTTCCATACTAGGCACTTCCGGAAAATATCCTGACCATGTTGCAACATGGCAACATGTCCTCTATCATCACTAAAAATTTCAGCTTTCTAGCTTGAGCCGTTTTTGAGTTCCATCACAGACAAGGAGGTCCTCCAAATTTTGATCAAAGGGCGATAACTCCCGACCGGAAGTGACTTTCCAAAAAATAATTTGCCGGAATTAACTTCAGATGACAACGCATCGACTGTGAAAATTTGAAGCAAATCGAACGAGCCATCTCCGAGAAATTACGATCTCGTTGCGAGCAACGAGTGGGTCTTCCGTCCAATTCTTGATGAGATAAGAAAAGATTTTGATTGCGATTTTTTATTTTAAAATAATGATTTACCACAATCTGTAAAAAGATATTGAACATTAAAGACTTTAAAAAACTGGCCTTTTGTCCCTTACGCCCCCTAATTTTAGGAATCAGTCCTTTTTATTCAAATCATCTTAAAGATCTTAAGATTTTGTACATTTTGTGTTCAACAACTATTCAGATATTCTTTTTCGTTTTTGAGATATTAGCAAAAGAAATATTTAAGGGGCCAAACCTTCAACTCCTTAATGGGGACGTTAAGCAAAAAATAAAAGGTTGCATATTGTTCAGAACATTATTTCGAACATCTTTTGTTCAATATTGCTTATCAAAATATTTCTCCCTTTCGAGATATAAAGCATCAAAGATTTTGCATTCTTGTCCCTTGTGGCCCCTAATTATGTACCATGCGACATGAAAATCATAATATATAGTTGTAGATGGTTGAGATAAACATCTTTGCTTCAGTAATGTATTACAAAATATTAACTGATAAAGAGTTATCGATTGAAGACTTTTGGCCCCTCTTGGCCCCTAATTTGAGTGCCCAGCCCCTTTTTCGGGATCTCATCTTAAAGATCTTAAGATTTTGAACATATAGTGTTCAACAACTGTTCAGAAATTCTTTTTCGTTTTTGAGCTATTAGCAAAAGAAATATTTAGGGGCCAACCCCTCAACTCCTTAATGGGGACGTTTAGCAAAAAATGAAAGGTTGCATACTGTTTAGAACATTATTTTGAACAACTTTTGTTCAATATTGCTTATCAAAATATTTCTCCCTTTTGAGATATAAAGCATCAAAGATTTAGCATTCTGGCCCCTTGTGGCCCCTAATTATGTACCATGCGACATGAAAATCATAATATATAGTTGTAGATGGTTGAGATAAACATCTTTGCTTCAGTAATGTATTACAAAATATTAACTGATAAAGAGTTATCGATTAAAGACTTTTGGCCCCTCTTGGCCCCTAATTTGAGTGCCCAGCCCCTTTTTCGGGATCTCATCTTAAAGCTCTTAGGATTTTGAACATATAGTGTTCAACAACTGTTCAGAAATTCTTTTTCGTTTTTGAGCTATTAGCAAAAGAAATATTTAGGGGTCAGCCCTTCAACTCCTTAATGGGGACGTTAAGCAAATATTTAAATGTTGCATGTTGTTTAGAACATTATTTTGAACATCTTTTGTTCAATATGACTTATCAAAATATGTCCCACTTTTGAGATATAAAGTGTCAAAGATTTAGCATTTTGGACACTTGTTGCCCCTAATTATGTCACATACGACAATAAAATTATAATGTACAGTTGTAGATTGTTGAGATGAATATTTTTGCTTCAATATTGTATAACAAAATATTGATCATTTAAGAGTTATTGAAAAAAGACTTTTAGCCCCTTTTGGTCCGTAATGTGATGAGTCAGCACTTTTTCATAGATATCATTTTAAGGATCTTGTCATTCTGCACAAATTTTGTTCAATATGTTATTACAAAATAATTATACTTTAAAAGATTTGATGCAAAATGTCTTAAAAAATCAGTCATGATTCGAGTCCTAAATTTTGACCCCTACCGAGCCTCCATACTAGGCACTTCCGGAAAATATCATGACCCAGGTGCAACATGGCAACATGTCCTCTATCATTCCTGAAAATTTCAGCTTTCTAGCTTTAGCCGTTTTTGAGTAACGCGACAGACACGGAGGTCCTCTAAATTTCGATCAAAGGGCGATAACTCTCGACTGAAAAGGAATTTCCAAAAAAGGACTCGCCGGAATTAACTTCAGATGTCAATGCATCAACCATGAAAATTTGGATAAAATCGGTCGAGCCATCTCCGAGAAATCCTCTGCACAAATTTTGTAAGAAGAAAAAGAAACCAAAGAATAATAGAAGGGTCTTCCGCTGAAGACGGAAGACCCTAATAATAAAGGTAAAAAAGAAACATAAGAATAAAAGAAGGGTCTTCCGCTGAAGACGGAAGACCCTAATAAAGGTAAAAAAGAAACCGAAGAATAATAGAAGGGTCTTCCGCTGAAGACGGAAGACCCTAAATATTTTGAATGATAACCTCATCGATACTTCAATACCCCTTTATTGCATGGACATTAATATTGTGCATTTATGATTTTGCATAGTTTCCATACCTGCAGCTGATCGTTTAACTGCACATACTTTTTTCTCAAAGATCTCAATAATATCCGAATCGGTACAAAATACATTATAGTAGTAATATAATATAACATGTCTTGATAAAGATAATTAAATTTAGAGTAGTAAAAAGATAAGAAAAATATGAAAAAAATGAAAGATTTAATGAACTGCGACAAATCACTTTTCATTTCATATCTCATGCTTATAAACGTTGGTATCTAGGGCTGGATTTTTTTTTTCCTTTTATAGGGTACAAATATCAACTTTTTAAAGAATTTTTCTAAGACTTCTAAAAACATTGAATCTTATAAAGATGAATAAAATGAAAATTGTTGCATGAAAAATTTGATTTTTAAGCTTCATTTTGATGTTTTTCAAATGAAATATTCATTTTTGGAGTTATCCTTCCTGGCTGATGATCGGATATCCTTAATTACGTCTGTACAGATGAAATTTTGAGACTCTCTGATTAGATTCGTTAAGCAAACAGAGGATTGTGCTAAATCTAGCAGTTCTTGTGTGATTATCTATAACTAATAAACACAATGTATACTGATGATTCCCACTATGATGTTCATTGAAATAACTGCAATTTTCATGTTCAAACATGCAATTAAAAAAAAAAATAAACAAAACTTTCAAGATGTGACTGTTGGTTATTTCAATTTAAGGAGAAATTATGTCAAATTTAAGGTAACGGAAAAGCCTTGAAAGGACGAAAAAATAAGTTATAAATCTTTTACACGATCTTCAGTTTTTATCTTTTACACGATCTTCAGTTTTTGTCATGTATTCAAATAAAGAAGGAAATAAACACAGACGAAGGAAATGGGCAAATAAAGATATCAAGTGAAAGAAGATGAAAATGTGGAAAATATGCTTAAACAAAAGAAAATACATGTAGTAATCAAAATGATTTTTCTAAGAAAAGAAGAGGGAAGAAGATTGAATAACTGGAAATTTTTAAATAGTCGAAGTTATATGCTATTCATCAACAGAATGATGAAGCAGTAAATTCGTATGCTAATCAGCATGATCCAGTGATCCCGTGTAAAAGTTTCATTTTATTCTTTTAAAAGTAACAGTAAACATACACATAAATCCCTTGATGCAATTCTCCTTTTACGCATCTCAAAATGATACGCAGCTAGATATTTAAACGAAAAATGATGCATTATACATGAAGGATATGGAGATAACGAACAGTATTCGATATCAAAGATGTAAGATGGCCTATATCAGTGCACGTAGGTTGTGTAACATCAAAGATACTTAGTAGTGTTATTCCTGGGGACAGATCGACATATGTCATATTTCTTCTAAAGAACAGAACACGAAGTAAGTAAAGATAAAAAATAGAAAGGCAAACGTATGAGACGAATAATGTTTGATTGTTTGTTGTTTAACGTCCCTTCCGAGAATGTCTCACTCTTATAGATACTCATTTACTTGCCGCTGGAGAGCTGTATATTTCTACCTATGCTCGGCACACAGAGCCATTGAGTAGTGGGTGTTCTTTTTCTTCCCAGTATCTGCGACTTGGTTCATATAGTCTCAACCGAAGGATTGGATCTCTACAATCCGCAGGGCATTCGGTACCGCTACGTAAGGACTAGCTCCTTGCTCAGCGACATCAAAGCAACTAATTACTGCGCCAGTCGGACGATGATGTGAAATATGTACATCTTTTGTCGAACAAATAACGGAAAACTTGTTAATTACAAACATAATAACAAAAAATATATTAAACTCTCTATGTTTGTCAAAGTATTTATTTTGATATATATTTTCTAAGCATATGTATATGTAAAGTGTCGAAAATGTTTTTAAAATTGGGTTTGATCATGAGCTTGTTTTGTTTATTTTGAGGGGACAGCACTATTTTCAAACAGAACCTGGCGTTTTTTTTTTTTTATTTATTTCTAAAGATGAAACTAACTTACAAAAACATCCTCAGTAACAACCACCGCACATACACATCCAAATATTTTAATGTGATATACTGTATAGTTACGCGGTGATTCTGTTTTTTCCACGAAAACTTGTTTGTATATTGCATCCTTGTTACCAGCAGGATGTAGAGTAAATTGATAAAAAAAAAAAATAATGATATTAGTTTCCTGTGTGAAGTGTGAAACATTCAGCAGCTATATCCATGTTTAAGATACATTCACAGGAAACGTGAATAAAAAATACCACAATATTATAAGATATCACATTTTAAGTACAAGGATGCTTCGAAAAGTTAGAATAACAGAAAACACTGTAATAAGTGTAAATATTTCAAGAAAATAAAAGACCAACTGGAAACAACTTTCATTGTAGACCCAAAAAAGAATCAATCATCAACATCTTGTTTCTGTGTGTTTGAAAGCTAATCTAGCAGCAAATCACGCAGTATGTCTTTCATTATAGTCTTTCTTTTGATTAGTGCTGTTGGATTTAACCTTAAAGGTGAGTGGTCAATATCTTGCTATAACCTTAAAGGTGAGTGATCAATATCTTGCAATAAAATGAAACATATGGTGATAACGAACAGTAAAGTTCGAAATGCATAAAACAATTCAAAATAGGAGCAGAGCAAACACATAGCTCCAAAATATCAGAGGTGGGATCAGGTGCCATGCATGAATGAAAATCCCCTGTCGAACGGTCACTCACATAATATAATATCTGATATCAGCAAACATCCCAAAAATACTACACAGTTTGTTAAAGGTGCAGAAAAGGATAAGTTCTTCTAATTTTGATTGATCATTGTTTTCAGTCAAACTTACCTAAAGCTTTTTCAGAAACAGGTTTCTATAAGAAAGGATGCGTGAATTGTTTACACTGGATGAATCTGTCGACAAAAATCGTGACGTAATACAAAATTTTACACTTAACTGATATTACTAATAATATAATAATATTACTAATAATTGTGATAATTAAGCAAATTAATACAATAGATATGACTATGTAATGATTCTTTTTCTTTATATAAAGATATGATAACTTCATTTCACTTCTGATTTTCGATTTATTTCGTAATGATTTATTTCTTAATGATAGATTTCCTTAACAAAAAAATAAAAAAGTTTAATATAATTGAATATGGTAAAGGTTTTCCTTTTTAGTAAATAAAGCATTTTGCTATGAATTTCAAATAGATATATTTTATTTCTTTAAATTCTTTATTTAAATTTCTGCTTCCCATAAATAAAAATGGGGTTTTTCAATGTTTTCATTTGGCTGATTTTGGTTCATTTGGTTGTCAAAAGAAATACATCAATGTTCCCGATGAATACCTCTTTTGATTTCCTTCCTCATATTTTTAACAGTTATCTTTTACTTTCAGATGTTAAAGGATTGCATTCAACGTTTTTATCATCGTCGGAAACGCATGGATGATCTCGTCTTTACGAACTAGCTGAAATATCACCGTAAAATATGATAATTTGTTGTTTTTAGTCAACCAATGAGAAAGTTGGAACTCTCCAATTTTGAAAAACACGTTTATTACTTTGCTATTTATGGTAAATTTATTGACACTTGTTAAAATGTGCGAAGTTTGATATAAAACAATGAATGTTAATTCGTAAAGGTCACTGACATTAATAACCGTCAAATTTATATAGGAGTACATGTACCCCTTCTAACTGCAAAATGCACCGGTGAGCGGATATATCAGCTGTGTTAGCGGAATGAGTTTTTCATGTTTTTGGCAATGCCGAATATGCATACGTAGCGTGAGCTGCAATTCGTCGTTTGGCATCGCCACTCTGTGAAGCAGCCAATCAAATGACCCCCGCATATTTAATTAAATACATGTACGACGATTTTTCGGCGAGTTTGCCCACGTGCGATACATGTACATGTAAGTAAAGACGAGATCACCCATGGGTTTCTGACGATGCATTTTTATCAAATCGATGATGTTTGAAAGAACAGTTGATACAAACAAAAAAAGCTGAAAATAACAAATAAGGCCATGTTTTAATGTGTTGAATGAATGAATAGGTTTTACGTGTAGTTTTTTATTCACATTTTCACTAAAATGAGAGTTTAAGTAAAAATATTTGTATAGATTTATAAGGATGGTTTCTGAAAGGTAGAATTTTGAACGCCATAGAATGTTTACAATTTCTTCATATTCTAAAAATTTATTATTTGTATCATTTTCAATGAAATAAGGCCTATACATATATACCGATTCAGGCATCCACTATTTTTTGTATCATATGTCCTTAAATCATTTTTAAAAGTAATTAGATAAAAATTCAGATATTTGTTGTTTAGAATTTGTTGCATTTCTTTTACATGTCAGTTTTTCATTAAAGTTTCAAACAAGAGCCTTTAACTTGTTTTGAACGTACGATAATCTATTAATAGCAAAATAAATCATTTTGCAGCTGATAGTCATGCTCAGATTTCTACCAATGATTCAACCTCCAAAATTGCTAAAAATGTGACCGATATTCAAACCGACTATACAAGAACAGATGCCAACGTTGAATTATCCTCCGATGATACCACTCGGAACAATTTTACTGAGGATATCAATATCCAAATGGACAATATTACAAAAGACGTTATCAATGCAACAATGCACAATGATTTCCCGTCAAGGCCTATTGCAAATGATACCAGTATCCAAGAACACTACACGAAAACAGATGTCTATATTGAGACACTCTTTACTGACAATACCTTAGAAATTTCAACATATAAAACCAATATAGAAATCAACAACATAAGTTCAAACCAAATGATCAAAGGTGCTTATATAGTGCTTCATTTAAGATGTTATAACATTATAAAGATAACTTGAATCATCTTATAAAACTTGTGTGCATTTGTGTGTGCAAGAATTATATTTAAATAAATGATACAATTTCATTTATTTATTGAAATGCAAAGTGTATTTTTCCTCTCTAGTTATCCAACGATGCTTAATGAAACATCTTTCAATAATATTCTACTAAATGATTGCAAGACATTAATTTATTTAACATCTTAAATATCAAAAAGATTTAACGTACTTCTCTTTATATAAAAGTTCATGTTGATTTTTTTTCTATTTCTTTTTTTTTCTTAGACAGTACATACGGAATCTCTGGAGCGGCTATTGTAATATTTATAGGCATAATTTGTCTGATTACTTGGCTTTTAAGGTATGTTCTCTCTCGCTCTCACTCTCTCTCTCTCTCTCTCTCTCTCTCTCTCTCTCTCTCTCTCTCTCTCTCTCTCTCTCTCTCTCGCTTTTTTTGTCACCGAAGTCAATACAATTTATACTTTAAACATTGTATTCAGTATAATGTATTATTTAGAATTTTCAAATTCTCATAGCATTTTTTGTTTAGACGTAAAAAATATCGTCAGGAAAATCATCATGGCTGGAAGAAGAGTAAAGTTCATGAAGTTGGACTTCCAAACAATCCTCTTTATCATTGCTTTGACTCAATAGAATTTTCTAATGAAAAGAAATCAAAAGATCAAAAAGATGGTTCCCTGCCTTCTACAAATAATGATGATGATGCCATACAAAGACAGAAGAAAACCCAATCTATGATATACCATACAGAATTGAAGAGCAGAGACGAAGCCAAAGTTGCCAGTTCATATTTATAAATGAGATTTTATGACAGATATGCAGGTTGCAATCCAAATTTAGTTATCTGTGGAGTCAACTAAGGACAAAATCTCTCTTGGAAATGCTTGGATACAAAAGTAATATGTTCCGGAAAATGAAAGTGTCACCTCCTACAGCATTATTTAAGATATAAATAAAACGTGTGTGGCCAATTATATTTTTGCTTATTTATAATGATAAATGTAAAAACTTCTATTTCAAAAATTTGTCTAATTGAGCGATGATTCATCTATTATAGAAGCAAAATGAAAATGAAGAATCAAAGTGAAATTTCAAAAAATTACCAACGCATCAATTCATTCATATATGATTTAATTCTGGTTGTAACCTGTATTTGATTGGATAAAACATTTACTTTAACAAAACATTATTTACGGAGTTTTCGGGCAGAAATCGTTTTGTCGACCCTCAAACCAAACTGTCTGCCTTCGGCCTAGCGGCCTCAGGCAGACAGTTTGGTTCTGGGGTCCAACAAAACGCATGTTGCCCTCGAACTCAGTCAATAAATGTACAATATTATATTTTATACAGATATTCTGTTACTTAGTTATTATTTTTCTACGAAGTTATACACATTGAAACGGCGCTTAGCTCACATTTTCTATATAGGACCTTAAAATTGCTAAGCACTTCTAATGTTTTATATGCCCGTGCTTGCTCCATTCTAAATTTGCATTATTAAAATGAACTTTATTGCTTGATTAATGTTTTTTCCTCCATATTTTTTTTTCCAAAGTCAAGACAAAGTTATGAATTCTTGTTTTTTTTTTAATACACTTTGTCACTCAATACATGAGAAAAAATTTAATAATCCTCATTTCGTCTTCCTCTTTAAGTCTCCAAGATATAAGGTGTGACAAACAATGAGACCAAGGCTAGATAAAGTAACAATGTATCCATAAGAGTTATCCATTTTTATTTTTCTAAATAAAGGTATCTTAATTATATATATCAAAATGATACAATAAAAAAACTGTGATGATTTCTTAATATTCCTGCAAATGTTTGGAATAATTAATAAACCACACGATATCCATTAGAAAACTGCCATTATTTCAATTTCTTTTTAAAAAGGTAGACTGAAATAAGGATTTTAAGTAATCACGGACTATGTGCCATCGACTCTTTTTTGATAGTACTAAAACGAAGTTCACCTATATTTGTGAAGAAAAGGAGTTCCATATTTGTTTTAGTATATTCCCATTTGATTTTACATAAAATGAATCATATGGATATACCGAACAGTATTTAAGAACAATGGTCCATAAAACAATACAAAATAGGTGAAGAGCAAATACTGCAAATATATAAATAAAACGCATTAACAATTAGTACGAAAAACGTCATTCAGCATTTGACTCAATGTTAAATTGTATTTGCTTACATACGTCATTGTATCGAAAACGCCTTTTAACAGAGGGAGACTGTGGTTGTGAGGCATAGATATTTCCACAATCATAGTAATTTTTCATCCTGGATTACAGTTAAGATTTCCTTTTTGTTCTGCACATTTATAAAATATCTATAATGCAAATAGACTTTTTAAAAGAAAAATCAAATCAGGTAAATTTTATTACTTATATCAATTGTCCATCCATCGATATCAAGCATGTAACTATACATTATTTTGTGATAATCGGTTCATACCCTTTACGAATAAAACGAGTACGTCGACTAAAACACGGAACACAGTATGACATCTTATACACATAAGTAAAATTAATTTTTTTTAACATCAGCTTCCTTAAGATTACTTTAGTATAAAAAACTTTTTTTATCTAGAACAACAGCAATTCCTCCATTTATAAATAAACTCAAGAAAATAAGTAAGAAGAAGTGAAACCATGAACAGAATCACTTCATCGGAAATTCAAGGCAAAAGGATATTCTTTTATAAATTAGAATAGCTACATTGTATGAGAATAAACTGCATTCAAGGGGTCTGTGTATGATGCCTTTTCACAGAGTTGTATTGTTTATCGGATATTTATGGTGTCCAAATAGGGCCATTGCTAAAGTGTATTACCGCGTAAGAAACAAAAAGCAAGTGCGTTAATGAAAAGGCGCTAGCGCATTAATGACAACCTGATAGCGCGTTGTTAGAACCAACACGCAAGCGCATTAATGATAACGTGCTAGCGCGTTGTTAGAAACAACACGCAAGCGCATTAATTACATCGCGCTAGGGCTTTAATGACAACGCGCCAACGCGCTAGCGCGTTGTTCACAACCCGACTTCGCGCTAACACATTATTACACTATCATTAACGCGCTAGCGCGTTGTCATTAACGCGCTCGCGTGTTGCCTCAAATGCGCTTATACACTTTTGCAAGGGCCCTATCGGGACACCATAGATACATGTATTTGTGTTCTATCGCTGTTCGTATTCTTATGTATTTTTTTATCTTTTAGTGGAAAGGATATATCTGAAGGAAAAAGATAACGTTTACGAAAATTTACTCATCTGCTTCTTTTTATGTTGAAACACAATGGTCCACGCCATGTTTATGGTCATATTTGTTTTATCTCGATGTTTCTTTGGAAGCACGCTTTCTGGTAAGTGGTTATGTACAATTCTAAATTACATAGGACACAGCTGGTAACTAATCTTCTTACAACATTCAGAATTATATTTAAAAACAAAAATTTGCTTGCAAATATGATTTTTTTTTTTTGCCTTGCTGACTTAATGCTAATTATCCCTATCCTGGTGGTACCTTTTCTGTTTTAAAATAGGGTAAATGCTAAATCAAGTTGCGTTAAGCTACAAGGAAGTACGTTTTCAGGGGGTAAAAACTTTGGCTTATTTTAGCGGTTTTGAAGTGTCCTTCAAAAATCAGTATCCTGATTATGCATATAAGTACTAATGCAAGAAAAAACTAATGAGTCTGTTGTAAAACAATATACTTTTCAACTGGTATTTATATTAACTCAAATATTGTTAAAATTGGTTTTCAATATATGTGTATTATACATACTGATAAGACTTCCAAAAGATTAATTTCCTCTCTTTTGTAACATCTTAGGACTCATTGTCTGCCAAAAATATCGCCGAAATTATTAGCAAAAAACAAGCAAAACCCCAAATTTTACACCTGCTAAAGAAAACTGATGTGGACTATTGGAATTTTAAGAATGTCAGTTATACATTTTATTTCACAAAAGAGACTTCGTAAAATAAAAAAAAATTGAAGACTTTAAAAGTGAAACCGAAAGAGTTTATTTCGGTGTAGTGATTTTTTTTTCTTCGGAATATTTTATGGAAATTAGGAATGAGCGATATTGAATAATGCAGGTGGCAAAACAACATTTAACTCGACTTCACGTCAAATCATGGCTGACGCAAAATAATTCCTGAATCGTCCCTTTCGATTTTTTTTTTTTTTTTTTTGCATTTTTGATACGAGACTGGAGCTGAATTTTTTTATGAGATGAAAAACAACATGCAAACTTCCTGTATTGACCAAGATTTATAAAAAATTTTGGGGCGTGTTGATTTTTCTATACTAGTATACTGTATTTGAGTGGGGAGTGATTAGGCCCTGGACTTCATTTTCAAGCACCTGCTCGACTTCGAACGAAAAAAAAACTTGCGTGCCTTGGTGGATGGCTTTACATTTTTGGAACTTGAATCTTTATAAAGAATTGTTTTATACGATCAGAAAGAGAAATGTCTCAGGAGTCTGTTTTCAATTTATGAAATGTACTCAAACTTCTTCATTTTTTGGTGAGAATATATTGCATAATTTAATACTGTTGTGCAATCTATAGGATTTTCAAGTTTGGTCAATTTTACTCTTTCAAAAAACGAAGCCATGTTCCCCGTAACATATATCAATGATACAAAAGCTTATAGGTCACATTGAAATAACTATAGGGTTTAACTTTAGCTTAATACTGGATAAATTTTAATCTTAAGAATACATCTTTCTAAAAACAGAAATGGGAATCAAATTATATCAAAATTTAACACTAGCTTCCTCTTTTATAACGTATAATATTTGCATTCATAACGCGATCACCTTTAATATATACCATTCAAGTATAACTAGGAAAGTATGTATGTGAGTAAGTCAATACAGTTTCTATTTAATGACGCAAATTTCCTTTTTCGAGTATATACTTCCGTCTCTGGACAATAGGATAGTGTTGGTTTTAAGTGTTTTATTACATCAATATGAAAACCGGAGGTACTGACAACACTCGGAATAGAAAAACAATTTCTATCATGAGATAGGAAAGATACATATCCAGTACTTTGACCTTTAAAAAATTTAGCTCACGACGACTTTTTCAGAAAGGTTTTAAGTATTTTTGTATTACGGTTTGATTTTAATGTCTACTCCTGGTATTTACTTCTTATTTATGTTACTAAATTCTGATTATGGAGTATTACCTACTGGTAAGTTTTTGATAAGTTTTTGCTTTTAGTAAGGTAAATGTTTTTTTTTATGATGTTTTTATATTAACTTTTGTTAAAAAACGGAAATTGTGAGTCATTTTACGTTTAATTATGTGAGATAAACCGAAGGTTTATATAACATATACATATATAATTACCAGGTATATATACTAGACCAAATTGCTTAGGTACCACCTAAGACCATTGATATTTTACTTTTAAAACCATGTTTATGTTGTATTTGATATATAAATATCTTACTTTGATAAAAAAAAAAAATAAGGCATATCAATGTCACATCTTCTAAATAAATAAAATGTTTACTGAAGTGTGACCAACTCATAGAGAGAAAATTAAAATCGTGCATATTACAAATAAATTAATTTTCTTTGTATTTGTGTTCTTCACATTTGTAAAAATTAAAAACTCAGAAAAAAAATTACACCGTATACGGCAGAAGAACATGCTAAAGCTGATACAATGTAGTATAGTATCTGCAGCGGGTTCCTTAAGAGAAACCTGTAAAAAATAAAACAATAAGAAGTTTAGGAATTCCACTTATGAAAATTTGTTGCGGAAAGATAAGCACACATAAAAATGCTTACTATAGATATATGGGCACTTCATTAAGTTAGCGGTATACAATGAATTGAAAACTGTTCCACAAAACTATAGGTCAACCGTAAGTTGAGTGGATTTGGAATGGACATTACGGTACCGAGTGATTACTAGGAGGTATGAGAGTAAATGACTGTTTGTCATTTGATTAATAACTTGGAACTACCGGTACTTCTGTTACAACCACACAGACCACAAAAGAGATCAAAAATTTCATATCTGGTCAAAAAAATGGTGCACAGTGCACAGCTAAAAATTGGTTGTCGGATAAGAAGGTTATTCAAGGGTCTTTTAATGATACTAAGACACTTGTCCATCGCATAGTTTTTGAAATAATGCCATATTACAAATCTTCATCAGCGGTGTCTTTCTTATACAGGGGTATAATTAAACTTTATTTCCATATCCAAAACACTACAAAAGTCAATATTGTAAATTTCCTGGTCATTCCTGTGGCATGTAAATTTCTCTTTTGAAATACAACTGAAAAATCAAATGTCAAACTTGCATGTATATAAGTGGCGTATAAAAAACACTGAAGAAATATAATAAATGTTTTGTTTAATTGATGTTTACTAAGTAATTAGATATAATATCAAAATCTTTTTACAAACAAAATAAATAATGAATTATCTTCGGATCAAAAGCAAGTCGCTAGTGCGACGCCGTCCACTATCAGCGAGGCCGAGAACTTATTCCGTAATAAACAGCCTATCTGGAGCACGTGGAGAAATCGACACAGCCACACTCCATCACCATCGTCCCTCAGTCATATTACAATCGACTTCGTAAACAATGCATCTCAACTTCCTCTGCTATTTTCACATTCATAAGCAAGTCAACTTCCTCTGCTATTTTAACATCCACACGAATCTGTTTCCTGACCAACTCCCGTTTCATCAACTGTAGCATTGCATTCAACATGTCGGCGGAGAAGTGACCTATGCCCTATGGGCAATACAAGTGTCTGTGCTTCTGACAACCTATATCTAGGTCACATACAGTGGAGCCTCACTTTGTCAGGATATTTGAAGCGTCCGAATGCTATACAAGACAAAATAACATTTAAAAATACTGTTCCGCTGAAAAATCGTCCAGATACCTAAGGGTCCTTATATCTGGCGTCCGAGTATATTAAGGTCCACTGTATATACTTTAAATTGTCAAAATTGTTTTGATCATATTTTAAGATTCTTTTGTTGTTTATTTTATAAATGTTATTTGAGTACAGTAACTAAAGAATCATTCAATTTGTTTCGTGTTTTATTTTTTTAAGTAAAATTTGACGTCATTTGGCGGGGCAATGGAAAATAACATGGAATGTCTCCCGCATTTCAAATCTACTTTTATTTATTTCAAATTTGTTATTTCAAGCAAAATTATCTAATGTTTCCCACTATTTTTGATGCCTTGCATGGTAAAGTCTCCTAACTAGAGGGTGATTCCTTAAATAGTTTTGTCATTGATGAGATTGCAAGGATTTAAAAAAATGAAACTCGCATACAATATTTTAATAAACCACTGGTTTTAAAGGCTATATTTGCTTCTAATGTTGAATAATAAATTATCCTTTATGCTTTTTATACCCCCCGCCCCGCTTAAAAAGTGGGAGGGTATATAGTATACACTTATCCACTGGTTGTGAGTGGGATAGCTCTTTTATCAAACCCGCAACAGGGAATAGTTCCTGTCAAGGGTTTAATGAAAGAGCTATCCCATTCACAACCAGTGGATAAGTGTTTTATTATACTGATGTATATTATAATTTCTAAGGTTTGATTTTTTTTTGGAGTAAGATAATACTGCAAGAATAATCTGGAATCCTGATGGCGTCACAATGCTACTGAAGTCATTTTGACATCATCAGTCAATAGATTTATCGCTGGAAATCAAAATTGGAGGCAAAAATTGCTTGAAAATTTTCCGAGGGTAGATAGCAAAAACTATACCCCGGGGTACAGCTTTGCTATGCGTGACCTATAAAAGATTTTTTACCTTCTAAACTTTATATAGGAAACATTTTAACAGAAGTATAATAATAATCGTTATGTCCGTCCGCCCGTCTGTCTAGCTCTATGTCCGTCCGTCTGTTACGCTTTGGGGTACCCATCTCTTATCTGCTTAATATACTACTGAGTGAAATTTAATGAAACTTTCACAGATTCTTTATTGCATATTGTCATTGTGGACCTCCTATTTTACTTTTTTATTCGACACGTATTTTAGGTTTCCCATAGCAAGACATGGTCCTTGCCATTATATTCTAACCTATGACGTCGTGCATAGGGCGACTTTTGAAGAACATTAGACGAGTTATTCCTCTTTTCACATTATCGTTAAACAATATATAGCAAAACAGGGACATTACGGGAGGCAGGGGTACTGTAAACCAACTTTTATTCGCAACAACTTTATTTCGCGATTTATGGAGGGTAAACTAGTTCGCGGCGATTAATTTTCGCGATCAAGTCTTTTTTTTTTTTTGATATATTTTAATAGACACAGACTTCAAGGACCGGTTCGCAGCGAGAAAAATTCGCGATTACGAGGCTCTCGCGAAATTTCTCGCATGCGAATAAAAGTTGGTTTACAGTATTATTTAGTGAGCTCATTGCCACCAGTTCCTCTAGTTCAATTTCGTTTGTTGAAGCTACGCCCTGGTTGTTCGAGTGCGTAGGATTTTAAAAACATTAACAATTTTTATTGCATCATATGTCATACATATTTATTAGTATCATGCATAGTATATGACAAATGACTGCATCATGATAATGTGGCAGAGATATGCTAAATAATTAACTTTCATTTACAGCTACTGAAAACGTTGATGTAACAAAATGTGATGGGAATACGAAGGATGGTTCAGTGATTATAGTAAAATATAGTGAAATAAAGTCACATTGTAAATGCCAGATAGAACCACATTTTACTGGAGTTATAAAGTTTGCTTCTAATGTGATTCATTTATCGTGTTACACGAATATTAATGTTTTTGAAAAGAACAAATCTGATGAAGTATTAGGACTTGCATGTGGAAATGCAAGAACTTCTGGCACATTCCACGTGACCGATGAAAGTGTTATTTTTATGACGTCAGAATTTGTAAACTCTACAACTGGAACTTTTCTTCAAGAGGTTACAATATTTGAAGGTATATACAAAGAATTTTTAAGGAAAAATTTTAAAAAATTAAATCTTTGTTTATGTATTGGCGAAGGAAATAAATGAATAAAAAAAATCTTACTGCTGATTTTAAACTTTTTAAAATTTTTAGTGAAATTATAATTTATTACATTTGTTTTACCGTTATACGTTTTAGGAAACTTTATGAAAAATTACTTTCAGAGATAAGTTTCAATGGTTCAATCTCTGTCACTTGTGGGAGTAATTTCTCAAAGTTAATGACAACGACAAAATGGACCACAAGTACTGATAGTACAACTAACAGAATTTCTACAAACAGTGATGTCTCCTTAAAATCAGAAAAAAGGGAAACCCAAACAAACAAATTAAACAATAGCGTTATATGTAAGTAAAATGTTCTTTTTGTTAACATTATTATTCGAATTTTTTTTCATTTCATCTGTAAAGGTGATGAAATAAGGAGTTACCAAAAAGTTATTGAGAACACTCTATATACAATTAAGAAATACCGTACGTCAGTATTTTTCTAAAACCATTTCTTTCTCCAGATATCATTCTTGGTGCCGCTGGCTTTGTTGTGGTATTTTTAGCAGTCATCACTGCGTTTGCTGTTTGTCACATGAGGTTTTATCTCAGTTTTTTTTTTCACGTATTACTTAAAATCTTGATTTACTCTGTCAGATTCTTAAAGATATTAGCTTGTAGAAATAAGTATATTACATGATTGTATAAGAAATATTCTATACAACTAATAAATGTATTTTCTTCTAGACGAAAACAGTCAGTTCCGAGCACAACAGATCCAAAAGATGAAATCAACTCTGAGGAGAAAAACACAGAGATTTACAAGGAACTCCCAGACAATCCTCTTTATCACTCCTATCAGCCTGAAGGCATAGACAACCAAATTTATGCTCAACCAAATAAGAACAAGGAGAAGACCCAAATGAACGAAGCTTGCAAGTCTGTTTCGCAGACGAATTCTTCTGAGGAAAATGAATGTGATATTGTTTATGCCAAAGTGAATAAATAATAGAGAACATCTTAATTTGACAATTTGATTTTACTCAAAATACAATGATTAAATTTAAAAACTTTACAAAACATAACATTAATGTACATTTTTGTTTGCACGGAAAAGAAAAGAACAAGAGATTTTTAGGATAAGACGTTCAAATAAATGATATTAAATTTTTTTTTAATTAGAAAATGAAAATTTGATGTTTAGCTTTATGTTTCGTAAAGCTGAATACCTATTTTTAATGAATTTAAAATTCTTATATTATTAAAGAAGACATAAACTACAACGTTCCACGCCTGCATATTTCATGAAGTGTATCACAGCCTCATGATTAATAAAAATGCGCGGAGTGTTGTAACTCATGTATGTCATAAATTTGCAAAAGTTAATGTTAATTTCTTATTTTAAAATCAATTTTCAGATGATTTGCTAAAGTTCTTTTTTTAAAGTCTTGCATTTTTCTAATTAAATTCTGAAATAATTCTTAAATTTTCAAAAGATGTAATAAAATACATACAAATGAAATTCTTTTATACTAATACATTAGAAAGAAAAATGAATATAATTGAATAAAGTGAATATGAATATAATTGTAATAGTGCCCACAGGATACTCTACATTGATGTGTTCTGGGTGTATAAATACCTACGTATAAGTGATGTTAAACATCACATAAGACAAGTTTGCGGGAAAACACACTTGTTATAAATAAGGAGGATTGTGGGTGAAGTGTTTTATGAAAAGACTGGTGGACTTAACGTACGTGACAAAGCTCAGGTTTGATCAAGAAAGATGATGTGTTAAACACCGGATCCTAAAATTAGACATTTAGAAAAAGGCATTAATATTGATGATGAGGTGCATGTGTTGTACAAGGTGCTTGATGATATTCAGTTTTATTTACGTTAGCATGTGTTTAAAAAAAGTTTTATATTTATCGCTAATTTCATTCAGTGACCAAAAATGAAGTGATGTAACGAAACAATTACACGTTTAAATATGGCGCAGGATGTTCTTAGATGTGAATTATGCTTAAACGTTGAATTCAAATCGGAAGCAGACGCTTTTTGTAACACTTGTAATGTGAATCTGTGTGAGACCTGTGTCGGTCATCATATCATATCGATGCCTTCATTGAAGCATAATGTAATGACTCTTTCAAGTCGAAAATGTGATTTCAAAATCCCTGTTTGTTCTCATCATTCAAGGCAAAATTGTGAGCTCTACTGTCAAAATTGTGTATCCCCTGTTTGTGTTGAATGCATAGCATCTGGGTCACATAAATTTCATGATATTGAGGAAATCAACGAGGTATATAAATCTAAAAGACTAAATGCAGAGAAAGATAAATTTGAATTACAAAATTGCATATTACCAAAGTTTGACTCTATCATTGCTGAAATTGAATGCCTGAATCAAGGACTTAGAGAACAGCATACGAATCGAAAAGTAGCAATCACACAATGTGGAAAAACTGCACATGAAGTTCTGGATAAAGTGATTGAGAAATATTTAACAGAGGCAGACACGCTTGAATTAGAAGATATCAAATCGGTAGCAATACTAAGGCATGTTTTTCATCATTTGAAATTAAAAATAGAGTCAGAATTAAACGGTCTGCAAAATATTATGTTGGCAAGAGATTTCAGCAAATTGCAGTGCTACTCATCAAAAGTTGAAGAACTAAGAATAGTACCATCTCGTTTTCAGTTAAAAGTACCTGCCTTTCAAATGTGCATGCTTTCTGAAGATAAACTTCTTAAAGAAATCGGAAGTCTATCACCGTCTCTTAAAACTGTTATTCCAACGGAGGCCCTTAAATGTAATCATGAACTAAAATTATTTGATAAAAATGTTGGAAAAAAATTTTGCCAAATTCCAAAATTACTTGCTGTTATTGATACTGGTTTCCAACACACTCTCAGAGAACATTGTTCCAGAACATTTGACAAGTTTTATGTCAGTGGGGATGCAGAATTTATCAGACTTCTAACATTCAAAGGTGATATTTCGGAAACGCTGACGACAATGACCTGCAACATCGTTACGGATATAACGGTAACTAAAGATAATGCCTTGGTTTACGCTGATGGTAGAGATCGCACCGTAAATCTTGTTAAAGATAAAAAAGCTGAATGTATCATAAAACTAAAAGACTGGAAGCCATGGTCAGTAACAAGTACATCGAATAATGAACTTCTGGTATCCATGTGGACGGACAGTTTCAAAGATAGCAAAGTTGTTCGTTTTTCAGGTTCTCTAGCAATTCAGGAAATTCAATTTAGAGAAGATGGAAAACCTTTATATCATTATCCTGCTTTTGTGGAAGAAAACGTCAATTTAGACGTGATAGTGTCTGACATAAATGAAAATTGTATCGTCGTTACAGATAAACTGGGAAAGCTAAAGTTTGTTTACGAAGGGAAATTTAAATCCCAAAGGTTCCCAGAATTTCATCCCTTTGGTTTAGCTACTGACCGTATCGGTAACATTCTCATTGCAGACAGTGATAACCACGTTATACATATCATCGACAAAAATGGGATTTTCATAAAATACTTAGATGGCTTTAATTTGAAAGAGCCATATGACATAAGTATCAATGACAATGACAATCTTATTGTTGTGGAATACAAAACAGGAAAACCTAAAATTCTCAAGTACATCGAGTATGCGTAATGAACAAGTAGGAAGAGTACTTAATGTTTACTACGATAAAGTGGGAGAGGCTTTCCTTTTTGCTAGTCTATTTTTTAAAAGCTGTATGTTTGATAACATAATGATGAAGTATAAGTATATGAAGCAAAGACCATTGAGTTTAAAACATGCTTTAATAATGTTCGTTGTACTTTTTTTTATTTCTGACATAATATCATACATTTATCTATTCAGATATTTATGATTTGGTCCGATGTTATCATATGTTGAATAGTAAGTTACCACGAATAATTCATACAACTGTAAACACCTTTTGTTACCGATAAAAATAAAATAATATTTTAAATTTCGGATAAATTTTCTAGTTTTCAGAGGAACATAATAAAAATTATATTATATATATAAATATATAAATAATTATAAAAATTATAAATGTATATGTATCTTTACTAGAGCTCTCTAGAACTAACAACTTCGCTACTCTGTTTTTAAGGAATACGCATGCTCGTCCTCAAACCGCTCTTGAAATAGTGCTATACCTAAAATGTAACATGTTAGTTTCGTTTTATGATCTGGAAATATATATGATGATGATGTTTTTCGTAACTTGTCTAATATTTACCTAAATGTACAAACAGTTATACTTACCGAGGTCTCAAAATCCTAGATTTCAAAATTCAATTATCATTAAACTCAATTTTTTTAACTACGATCTCGGATCTTTCCAGAAAGCTTAGAGAAAATCCTTAGATATGCTTTTATGCTCACAGTCCCAGTCTGAAACTCCCAAAGAGATGTAGTAGATGGTTTTTAAATGACGTATTATGCCTCGGAGTTTTTCCGCCACCTTGTAAGGCAAAGAAGTGAAATTTTTAGCAACCAATTTTAAACATAGATGCATTTGTCGAAATATTTTCAATCTTGTAATTATGAATTAACAGAGCCTTTAACAGAGGTATATTCATAAAAAAGTGTAATCATTACCCCAGTACCCAGCATAACAAACTGGGGTTGGTTGAATAATGAAGGGATCTGGGAATGTTGACCTACAATATGTTGGCCATGGGGAAATAACTCACTTAAATGCCCTCAATAGAAAACCATCTATTGCAACACAACAGTACAATATTGAGACACTTCAAATTAGGTGGCTGAATGATTCTACTGCTAAGAGACATAACAACATCTTTGGCGTAAAAAGGTTGATTAATTGTATTTTTCATCTTACAATTTAAACAACTAAGTCTAGATTATTTGAAGCACTCTTTTCGTCATTTCCGACTTGTAAAGTTTACTTCTATCCATTGTCTTATCTAGATCTGTGATTCCCAGTCTCTAAACACAACGGTAATACTTAAACAGGACTGTCATTTAAACCAATGGTTTGCCGTCACGATAGCTGACTCGTTAGAGCACTCGTTCATTGAAAAAAGGCTATGATTTCGAACTCTGGCGGAGATAGACCCGAGTCGATAAATAGTTACCAACTTGTTCTTCAGCAAGCGCTCGAGACGAAGTGCTTGCAGGTTCTGATAGGAACGAAAACCACTGCCCCGTGTCACGGGCAAAGATTTACCGGTATACATGTAGGTGAAATGTCTATCTGAGTTAACATTTCTTGTACGGGACGTGAAATAATATACTAGTGCACTAAATCAATTACTGGTAACCAACGGTCCAGATATCTACTTGCGTTTTTGATGGATACAGCGTTAGTTCCTATATTATTTAAAAAGATAACATATTTATTCATGTTTATATTTTTTCTACGTGTAGTTCACATACAGTGTACTTGGAAGAAATCATATACTACTCATATCTTAAGATATTATATAAAATTGTCTGCCAGTTAGGTCAACATAATGAACAATAATTTTACTTCAGTTTAATAATATATTGTATTTTACGCTCATTTTCTTCTGTAGCAATTTTACGAGAAATATAATTTTGTTTCGCCATATTTCTCAGCTATTTGACAATTGATGTCTACTGAAGAATCTAGGTAGAGTAGTTTGAGCGCACTTCCTTCACCTATAAGTGTAAACTGTTCATTTCCCATTCCATCTAAGAAAGATTGCAAAGCTTCTCTATTTTCATCTGCAAAGTCGTTGAAGGCATACAAATAACACAATTCAATAACAGAGTCAAATATACCCTTGTCCCTTTCGTCAGAATTATGAATTTCTATCTCAGTTTCAATTGTTCTTATATCATTTTTATCAAATTTCTGTGGCATTTCCAAATACTCTGTTGCTTTATGAACATCTTTCACAAGTTTCTTGTAATTCTCATCTTCTGATCCAAATGGACACAGTTTACCTAAGATGTTATCTGGTACAAAGAAACTCGATAAGTTTTTCTTGTACAAACATTCCTTCAAAATAATACAAGCCTCATAAAAGCGAAAAGATAAATTATCTTTTGTCCAGCATGCATCTTCATAATACCAAGCCATTAAATAGAACACAATTGTCTTTAACCAGTAGGAAGGGATAGCCGGTTCCATTCTGAAGAGAATTTCGTTATACCGTTTTGGTATATATCTTTGATCAAAGTATTTAAGCGACTGCAAAATTGTTTTCCTTCCATCCTGCTCAGGAAAACTCGCCCATATTTCTTTTTCTAGAAGTGCTCTGGTCCATCTCGCCTCGCCATCAGACTGTAATAACAAGTAAATGTTTTCTTCTCTTCGGTTGTATTTTCGTTTGCCTTTGGTGCTGATACCTGGTCGAGATTTGTCTAAAATGTCTTGATTAAAATCAATATGTGTTTCGAATTCTGGAGGTTTTAAGGAAATACAGATATCCAAGTCCACGATTAAATGCCTGTAAATGTTCCCTTTCCAAAGCAGTTTGTTTGTCTGTGCTAAGGTTGACGTAAATGCTGGAACCGTGTCCAGCCACTTCCAACCAGGTAATGTATTTTTCTTCATGACGTCTGCTAGTTCTATCTGAATTTCATTCCAGACTCGTCGCATAAATTTTTTATCGTCTCCTCCTTCTGCTAAATCTTTTGAGAGATCTTTAAAGTCTTCAAAAACGTTTCTATTTTTCACACGGACGACTCGGTTTTCATGCTTTAAACCTAAGGTATTAATGCCTTCAGTATAAAACTCCAGAGATTGGTTTAAATTTGGAAGATCTATCATGAAATCAAACTCGTCAGGGTCACCAAATTTTGTTCCTTCAACCATGCTTCCCATTTCAATGATAGAATAATTTTTGAAAACATGATGGTGGACTGCCATTTCTTTACAAACATTTTCCAAAATTATTCTCACGTCTGTGCAAATCTTTTCATATTCAGGAGATTTTCCCCCATGAAAAGTTTCCTCAGTTTCTTTCAACACAAAATTAATCAGCTCAAAATTTACAATTTGATTTTCGATATTTAATTCAGGAATGTATGTTTCCTGACAATTATGTCTTTCACGGGGATCAAATGTTTCATCAAATTCACTCAAGAAAACATCTGGATTTAAACTTGGATAGCAGAAAAACTTATTCCATGGATGAAATGGCAACTTAGGTCTTGAGAGAGACGGGTTACCATCTAATTTGGGTATACTGATTGTCGGATTTAGATCTTTTGCAATTTGCCTGATGCCTTCTCTTTTTTGTTCTATGTATTCATTGGAATGTACCGCTAAAATAGGTTCAAAAATATCATTCCCGGCTATCGATCCTCGATTGAAAGGCAGACTCAAATGCTTTGAAAATACACTGCTGATATTATGTATGGATGTTTCGCTTCCATTGTTTTTATCAGTATTACCACCTCTACATAGAAATGTACCATCGGCATCAAGAGATCTTTTTATTTGCCCATCTTCATGATCTTTGAAAGGAGTCGGCTGTCTTTGATAAAGCTCTGTTTCCGTAGAAATTTCGTTCTAAAAAGAGACAGAACGCTTCTTAATCACGTAAATACATGTATATCCTTACTCTTACATTCAATGGGAAAATGAAAAAATACATACATGATATGACCTATTCAACTGATCATGAATTGCGTTTTTATCTATCCCGTATAAAAATGTTAAAAATTTACTGGCGTTTTGCATACTAATTGTTAGGCCACTTTATACACATTGAATTGTCGACTGATATTTTCTGTTATTTCGCATTTTGCAAGGAGCGGTTGTGACCGGTCGGCAGGGAATTTTCACTACTCCATCGCACCTGAGGCACCCGATTCCACCTTTGATGTCCGAACTTCGAAGCTGTGTTTGTTCTGGTCCAATTTTGTATTGTTTTGTGGACTTTTGTCCTTGAGTACTGTTCGTTATCTCCATCTATTTCATAAACATGTAAGACAGTAGTTTTAGAGCTAAGAAACAATAAATCACCAAAGCAATGTTTTACTAAAAGTCCTAGACTTGTTTTTGTGATTAAAAAGAGAACTCGTAGAAATCTGTATACTAACTTTATGACAGCCTCTCAAGTTCCCTTCTTATTATTCAGAATCCCATATATTTATTACATTTTTAACAGTGAAATACTGTAATTTATTCTGTTGTGAGGTGTGTTGTATTTGTATTATTTCATCATGTATATTATTAGTAACATTAAGTTTCTTGAACATTCTAGAGTGGTCAACATGTTCGGTCATTTTTTCTAGAACATTCTTGAACTTTATTCATGTCCAGAACTTTCCAGGAATATCATGTATTTACAATTTCTAGAATATTCTAGATTTATATTACTGTATAAATATCCTGTCAATTCGATGCATAGATATACTCTTGTCGTATGAGCATCATTGAGTTACACCTGGGATATATTTTCACTGGGACATTGTGTGCAGCAACGGACACTCTGATGTATGTATTTTGCTAAGTTTGTACTTAATGATTTGTATATTACTGTAAATAAATTATTGTTAAGTTTAAACTGTGTGATTGATCTTTGCTGGCATTTAGGGTTATTCTGACCCATAACAGAATTGGGGGCTCGTCCGGGATCAAGAATTTCTTGCACTTTTGCAGTTCATTGTCAGAATTTTGTTAATTAAATTGTTAAATTTGACTATAAGCCAGCAAAAATCAACATGGTATTTTCGGTCACAAACTTTCTTAGTTCGCCAAGTGTTCAGGTTTTTGATACGTTAAAAAAGGATGACTTGATTGCATTAGGTTTGCATTTTGGGTTAGATGTTAAATCCTCTCAGAGAAAGCAAGACATTAGAATTAAGGTTGCAAACAAACTAGTAGAAGAAAACATCTTTGAAAAATACGATCTTCCAGAATATACAACTAAAACAGAGTTAGGCTCTTACAAAATGGCAGAATATCAGTTTCAATTAGAGTTAGAGAAAATGCGATTAGAAAGAGAAAAATTAGAAAGAGAAGAGCGAGAAAGAGACAGAGAAAGAGAAAGAGAAAGAGAAGAACGAGAGCGTGAACGGAAATTTGAATTAGACAAATTAGAAAGACAAGAGCACTTTGAGTTAGAGAAATTAAGATTACAGCAAAAACCAGAACCCTCATTTGTCAAGAATGAATTTGATGCAGCAAAAAATATTAGGTTAGTTCCGAAATTTCAAGAAAAATCTGTAGACAAGTATTTTCCCCAATTCGAGAAAGTCGCAGAAAATCTTAAATGGCCACAACACGTTTGGTCAACAATGTTACAAAGTGTACTGGTTGGCAAAGCAGCTGAGGTTTACTCTGCACTAGGGGTAGCTGAAAGTTCAGACTATGAGAAGGTCAAAGCAGCAATATTAAAAGCATATGAATTAGTACCTGAAGCGTATAGACAAAAGTTCAGAAAGTATAGAAAGTTTGATAATCAAACATTTGTTGAATTTTCACGAGAGAAAGAAGATTTATTCGATCACTGGTTTAGATCTAAGAAACTTGATAAAACTTTTGCTAATTTGCGCCAAGTCATCCTGGTAGAAGAGTTTAAGGAATGTGTTACTCAAGATTTGAAAACACATCTAGAAGATAAGAATGTGAAAACTCTTGAAGAGGCAGCAGTCATATCTGATACTTATGCTCTGTCTCATAAAAAGAATTTTGTATCAAGATCTCAGACTAGCAGTAATTCTACAAATTCAGACACATATAAAAAGAGTGGTTCAGGGTCTCAGTCTTTCACAAGTTCCCAGTCTCCATCCCAAGGTGGTTCTAAGTCCGGTCCAGGACGTTTTGAAGGATCTTCTGGAATAGGGTCGCTTCCTACTTGTAGTTATTGTAAGAAAAAAGGTCATCTGATCAGTGAATGCTTTAAACTTAAGAGAAAAAATGACTTTGATAAAACTCAACCACATGCTTGTGCGGCAGTTAGAGGAGATAGAGAAGCCTTAGTTTCGATTTGTTCTGACACTCCAGATGTCCAGGGTTCAAAGTCCAGTTCTATTGATTCTATGGAGGATTATAAGCCCTTTATGTCTCAGGGATTTGTTTCACTCGGTGACTCTAGCGAAATAAAACCTGTCCAGATTTTGAGAGATACTGGTGCTGCACAGACGTTATTGTTAGAGGGCGTGCTTCCTTTGTCTGAGCAGACTTCTACTGGTGGGTCAGTTTTATTACAGGGTGTGGAGCTAGGCGTCATTGATGTTCCCCTGCATAGAATTAGTTTGAAGTCAGATTTAGTTACTGGACCTGTTATCGTAGGTGTTCGACCTACTCTTCCTGTTCCAGGCATTTCTTTGTTGCTAGGCAACGATTTAGCTGGTGGAAAAGTTGTACCAGATCCTATAGTTTGTGAGAAAATCACTCCAGATGTCATGTGCGATGATGAAGATGATGACATTTATCCAGCCTGTGCTGTTACTAGAGCGATGGCCAGAAGACGAGAAATGGAGGCAGACCATACTCAAGCCTTTGACGAGACGAATTCCTCTGTTGATATTGATTTGAATGACACTTTCTTATCTGACCTTGATGGCACTCAAACAAGCATGGAACCACACAATATCAAGAAGCAAGAGAAGAAAGAACTTTTATCAAAATTTGGTGGTGAGGATGATGAGTTGCATCCACTAGTTAGCCAAGGCAAGGACATCCTCAGCCGAGAACGTTTACTCTCTGAACAACATAAAGACCCAGATATCATTCAACTTAGTAAGAGGGCACTTCCACCAGAAGAGGCTATTAAAGTTGGAAAATGCTTTTATATGAAAGATGGCATCCTTATGCGAAAATGGCGACCACCTGACGCTCCCCCAGATGAAGTGTGGCGTGTTGTTCACCAGATAGTGGTCCCAGCTGCTTATCGTCGAGATGTCATGAGTTTAGCTCACGATACACCTATGGCTGGTCATTTAGGTATCAATAAGACTTATAATAGGATTTTGAGTCATTTTTTTTTGGCCTCAGCTAAGGAAGGATGTTTCTGAGTTTTGTAAGTCGTGTCATGTCTGTCAGATGGTAGGTAAACCGAATCAGAAGATACCATCCGCCCCTCTCCAACCAATTCCAGCTTTTGAAGAACCGTTTAGTCGAGTGTTGGTGGATTGTGTAGGACCTTTGCCTAGGACCAGATCTGGGAACCAGTATTTACTTACCATTATGTGTACATCCACTCGATTCCCTGAAGCCATACCTCTTAGGAATATAAAGGCAAAGAGCATAGTTAAGGCCCTAACCAAGTTCTTCAGTTTTGTAGGAGCACCAAAGGCAATTCAGTCGGATCAAGGCTCAAATTTTATGTCGGGGTTGTTCCAGCAAGTCATGCATGAGTTGGGTATAAGGCAATATAGATCAACTGCTTATCATCCTGAGTCCCAGGGAGCGCTAGAACGTTTTCATCAAACCCTAAAAACAATGCTGAAGACCTATTGTTACCAGTATGAAAAAGACTGGGATGAAGGGGTTCATCTTGTACTATTTGCTGCACGAGAAGCAGTCCAGGAGTCTCTTGGGTTCAGTCCTTTTGAATTGGTGTTCGGTCATACAGTTAGAGGTCCTTTGAAATTGTTGAAGGAAAAGTGGCTGACTGAGACTACTGATCTTAATCTTTTAGATTATGTGTCTGATTTCAAAGAAAAACTTTACAATGCTTGTAAATTAGCACAAGACAATTTGAAGAATTCTCAGATGAAAATGAAAATGTGGTATGACAAAGATGCCAGAAATAGGGTGTTTAAGCCAGGTGATAAGGTTCTTGTATTTTTACCTATTCCTGGTCATCCTTTACAGGCCAGATTTTATGGCCCTTATGAAATTGAAAGCAAGATCAGTGATGTAAACTATGTAGTTAAGACACCAGGTCGACGTAAAGAGAAACGGGTTTGTCACATTAACATGTTAAAAGAGTATTTTGAAAGGTGTGACCGAAATTCTGTAAAACCAGTTTCCACTTTAGCCAATGCTAAGACTGTTCAAAATTGTATTGAGAGTGATACGAGTGTAGAGATGAATGAGAAAGATTGTAATCAGAGTGTCCGCTTGAAAAACTCAGAAATTTTGGCTGATTTTGATGCCAAACTTGGACATTTGAACATTCACCAAAAAGAACAAGTTAAAAACTTGATGAATGAGTACCATCAAATCTTCTCGGATGTTCCAAAGAAAACTAATGCAGCTTGTCATGATGTTATAGTTGGCGACGATCTGCCTATCAAACAACATCCGTACCGTCTCAATCCAATAAAATTGCAGTACCTAAGAAGGGAAGTGCAGTACATGTTGGACAATGACATTGTTGAACCTAGTAAAAGTGATTGGAGCTCACCATGTATTCTTGTACCAAAACAGGACGGTTCGTACCGATTATGTACAGACTATAGAAAGGTGAATTCTGTTACCAAAACTGATTCATTTCCAATACCTAGAATCGACGACTGTATTGACCGCATTGGAAACGCCAAATTTGTCAGTAAATTTGACCTGTTGAAAGGCTACTGGCAAATACCGTTAACAGAAAGAGCAAAAGAAATATC